AAGGCATAAAATGCTTCAGCAATTCACAGGTAACATGACCAATGACATAGGGCCACACAGCACTAAACCATTTTGTAACACAATATAGAAAAGACAGAAAAATACTATAATGTACAAAATAATTCTTAATTTTCTTTCTGAAATTACAAAGACATGTGTATCTTAACATTTATTATAAATTTTTCTAATAAAAATGATATATAAGAGAAAATTTAAAAATAGAAAGAAAGGATCCAAACATGACCCCTAAACCATAAAATGAAGTATTGTTAGCACTCCCAAAGACACCATAAAAAGCTTAATTTTATATGAATGTGATCTTTAGGGACCCTGGAGTGGGATGTACAAACCACGTCTAAACAGAGAAAGGGGGCTGGGGGAGAGGGAAGAAAGAGAGGAAGAGAAGAAGGAAGGAGGGAAGGAAGGAAGAAAGGGAGAAAAACAAAAATCACCAAACATCCCCATTCCATCTGCGGGCTGCCCCGCTCAATGATGGCCCCACCTTGTCCCCACAGTCAAATTCCAGTGTCATCATGGCCCTCTCAGTCCGCCCCACACCCAGTGCCCCAGCCAGTGTCCACACGGTGTCCAGTATCTGTGCACCCACAACGACCCGCTGCACCAGGAGGAAAACACAGCCCTCACCTTGGTTCCCACCTCCCGGCTCCCGTCCTTCCCTCCTCAACAAACTCTGAATTTCCTGCCTTAAAGCCTTGAAGGGGGACAGTCCCACAGCTCTGAACATTCTTTGCTCTCAACATTCCCCAGTGACTGCTCCTCTGGTAATGCTAAGCTCAAACATCAGAAGTTCAGGAAGAACTGATCTAGTGGACATGGTTCACAGCACACAAATGTACCCAGAAACTTCAACTCAAAATATTGTCCTTCACTCTCAGTCCAAGCTGGCGCCTCTGCTTCCCAGAAGACACTGGTGCTGGGGGGCGGGGTGACTCCATAGTGCATCCTCTTTGTCTTTTCCTTTTAGGTGAACATCCAATCAAGATGAACATGACCATCATAACGTGTCCCAAACAACAAAGATTGTGACCTGGTCAGTAAGTCACTGTGGTTATGGGTCCTGGAGTGGGTACAGTGCGGCCTCCCTTTGCCACCCTCTCATGTCCTGACTGTGGGTGCCCCATACCAGGCAGCACAGGTCTGCCTGCTCCAGGCTGAGGTGCCTCCCCACCTGCCCTTGGAGTTGAACCATCTGCTGTAGGCCGATGCAAGACAGGCTAGGCAAGGAGCCTTCCCTCTGGGTCACCCATCCCGGCTAAGACCACACAGCATGCAATAGAAGAGGAGACAGTGATGCCATGTGGACCTCCCCGTCACTCAGGATTCATATCCTGGTCGTGCAGAATAATCATATCTCAGACAGGGGAGCATCTCCCCAGTGACAGACCCTCACTGCTCAGCAACAAAATCCAACTGGTTTATTAGAATGCAACACTCTGTGCCTGTGTCCAATTCAGCAGCAAGGCCTCTTACACGGGTGTGTGGGGCATGGGGTGTGTTATGGGGGTGGGAGCGACAGTGTGGATCTGCAGGCTGTCTGGGCAGGGCGGTGGAACAGGTGCAGCATCCTGGAGGGAGACCTGGCGCTACAGGCTGCGGGGTGGTGGCACCGGGAGCAGCAGGCCAAGGGGAGGCTGTCCAGGCTGGGCTGAAGGCCGATCTTGGGGTGCCAGGGGGCCTGGGCACAGAGCATTTTCGGGAGGTCAAAGTTGGTGCAGCTGCCCTGGAGGGAGAGCAGAGAGAGGAGGTGGTCAAGTGCCCTAGAGCTGGCTGGGGCCGGGCCC